ATGACAGGAAAAGAAGAAACATCTTTCAAGTGACGCTCTTCTCACAGTTATTTGGCACTCCAAACTGTAAAAGCATTTGGGCTAGTCTAAAATGCCTTTAGATAGAAATTACCTTAGTAGCCTACTTATTCTGTCAATTTTCAGTTATGGATGTACCCCCTGTGTGGATTTGCAAAGAAGTATCAATGTATGATCATGGTTTTAACAACAATAATCTGAGCTCTTGTTGCGAGCGGCTTGGAAGTTGTTTTAGTTGACTGAAGATTCCAAATTGGCTGTGGCAAAACTCTGAGTCTTGGGCAGAACCAAACTGCTGTTTCCATGATTAGGTGCAAAATGGGCTGTGTGGGTACTCAATCTCCTGGAAGTATGAAATAGCTCCTGTGAGTATAAATGGTATATGAGTATAAACGGTTTCCTTCAGCAACATGTAGACTCTAGTGGGGACTAAGAAGGTGGTTTATAAAACAGTACGAGGTCCTCTAATTTCACTTCATCATGCTGCTCCTGAAGAGTGTGAATCCTGAGGTGCTCTCTGGAAGGCCCAGGAAACACTTCCAACTGTGCATTTTTTTAATTGAGAAATTAAAATTTAGGAAAATCCAGGCAGACTCTCAAGTCTCATCTTGCTGAGCACTAGAAAATCTTCAGGTAATTAGATCTGAACCTACTTTCGAGTTTTGCGTGGCTTTTTTTTTAAACAGAACTATATGAAAAGAAATACTATTATGCTGCTGAAGATCTATCTTCCTATTCATAGCTGCCTTTTCTAGATAGAGTAACAATAGAGCACATAAAAGCTCTCTATAATTTTATTAAAAACAAGTAATCAAGATACTTAAAATGCCAACACCACCTATTCCCCTCAAAGAACTTTGAAGCAGCCTTTATTTACCCTGATGAACTACACCCAAAAAGAAAAGTGATAGGAACTGAGGGAACAGCACAAAGCTGAGGCAGGGGAAGTTTATTTTGGATTTTAGGAAAAGGATCTTCCCCCTGAGGGTGGTCAGGCACGGAACAGGCTCCCCAGGGTAACAGCACAAAGGCTGACAGAGTTTAAGGAGCATTTGGACAATGCTCTTACACACAGAGTGTCTAAGACACCACTCTTGGGGTGTCCTGTGCAGGGCCAGGAGTTGGACTCGATGACCCTGATGGGTCTCTTTCAACTCGGGATATTCTATGAGAAGTATATCTGTCCTCAACAAATTGCCATGAAATAGGCTTTACTGGTTTAACAATACTGTGACTTTATCTCTTTTTCATTAACTATTTTTTGTCCCAAAGACTTTTGATATGTTTGTTATGATATGCAGTATGTCACTGCTACAGAAATCTTGGAGCTTGTAAGGAAGTTTAAACCCCAAGAGACTCTCTGATCCAATAAGGTCACACCAGCAGTTATGATGCTCACCAAATACACTTTTTTCATCCTCATCCACATCTCAAGTGTTGTATCAGAAGCTGCTTCAAAAGAACAGGAGGATGGAAGTTCTTTTGGAAACTTTTGTACTGCATGTCTACAGAACAGAAAAATAATCTTTCTAAAGCAGCAACAGAACTAAAATCCACTAGTCTTTGCTATAACCTTTTTATTGTTGTCTCTAGTGAAAATTTTCAAGAGATGATTTCACTGTCCTCTTTTAACATCTTCTTTCTGCTGAAGTAGCTGATATACAAGAAAGAAATTTAGCTGTTGGACAACTGTAATTCTTAAGTCAGCATGTTTTGTTCGGTTTCACTAAGTGAGAAGAACCTTAAATCTGCTCTCCCTTCTGTGCCCTTTTTGATCACAGTACTAGGATGGACCTGAAATCCAGCCAGCTTTTCTCTCTTTTGAGCTTCAAATCAAGATGAAAACCCACTGTGGAAGCTCATCTTGTAGGCAGTGCTTTCAAAAATCTTTGCTCTCAAAAATGGTGAATGATATTATTGGTATATCACTCTTTAGGTAACTGTTCTGGCTGCTGTTGTAGATGCCATACAGGTTTGGAACAAAAATTAGGTTTCAGCCCCGTAGGCTATAAAATTTCTCTGCAAATTGCAAAACAGTAGCTTGAAACAGAATGAAGTGCAGCATGTCCAATGGACTAAGCAAAGTTCAAGCCAAAACTGCTGCTAGGTAATCACTGTAATTTATAAATATATGTTCTACACATAGAGGCACCTACTGGCTGTGTTGAATAGATACTGCACAGAGCACGCTTTAGTCTGGTCCCACCGTTGTTCTGTAGCAGTAGGACAGAGGTACAAGGGGTTGGAAGACTCAAAGAAAACTGAAACCATTTTATGTCAACTAAGCAGCACTGTTTTCTTTCTTCACAAGTGCCATGCTAGATGCAATACCTTTATTTCTATATTTAGACATTGGAGTTGTAACTTACAGGGACCCCAGTGAACCATCCCATGTGCTCTCACTACACTGAGGAATGGCAAAGCTTTTGTAGGAGTCTTGAGTCCAGAAATGTTTGACTATTGCCATCAGCATCCCAGCACGCTTTTCTTCCTCCAGGGCAGAAAATGGTGCTACCTGCTCCCTTCAACAGAGTCATAAAGAATAAAGGAAGTGCCTTCATGGGACTTCTTGAATTGCTGAACATGTTGCCAGGGAGTAGCTTGTCTCTAAACCAGTGGGAGATATCCAGCACAAACAGATGGCCAATCTTCATTCAGCTCTGTGCTGTGTAGCACACAACAGTTTTCTCTCTTCTCTTTTTACCACATTCTCATTTCAGTCAGATTAGTGATGGGGCTGTGCATAGCAGCCTGTGACTGCCTGGGCACTGCCTGGCCATCTTCTGCCAGAACTACCTGGCCTGTTGCTTTAGATACAGAGATTAATTCTTCCCCTCCTTTGCTAGACCACACAAAAGGGTCTCCTGGCAATGTTGTTGTTCTGGGATTCAGCTTGTGGGGGCTCTTCCAAGGAATAAAGGATGGAGAACGGACTAGTAACCCCTAGCAATTTCCAGCTTTATCCCTGAGGACAGAATTAGCCTTCCTGATTGCCTTGTAAGAGGATATGTGTGTTTGATGAGGTGCTTTGCAGGGTTTAGCCCCAGATACACATTCATGACCCAGTGTGAACGCAGCAGTTCATTGTGAATGCAAACCTGTGTACACTGCTGAGGTTTACACACACACACACAAACACACCTCCTCCTCCCCCCTTCACTAAAGAGCGCTGAAAACATCTGATCTTTACTTCTTGTCTTCCCATCCTTCCCTTTCTGGGACCAGCACAGTGGCATAAATAGAGTCAGGTTTCAGAATTTTCCTGTGTCGTTCAGGATTGATGTACCAGAGTGGACAAAGTCTGTGTGTGTACAGCTGGGAACTCACAGCAGACGGCTCACCTTACAGGTGGCAGAGTTCTCATGGGAAAAGGATAGCAAAACTGAGTTTCTGCCAGGATGTTCTCTCAGATGCAGCCTCAGTGCCTCACCATGATACCCTACCAGCTTCTTCTACCCAGTATCTTTTTTTTCAAAACAGTTTTCAAAATTTTCCATTCCAAGAAAAAACACCCTAAAAAACTTCTTGTGAACATGTTTGCCGAATTTACCAAAGGAGGAGGATGATTTCAGCTGGTTATAGTCCTGTATTTGTTCTAAATAAATCAGATGTTGACTACAGAAACATCTTTAGTTTCTCTTGTTTACAGCCCAGGCTGACAGTTAACCTCTCAAAAACTTTCAAATAAAACTCAGCTGAAGAAATGTTTGCTTTCCCCAGACTCTGAAAATGTCCAGGATTTTTTATTTAGTGGTTTTGTGGTGGTGTTTTTTGGCATACTGTATTGCATACCTCCCTGTGGTCTTTAAATTACCTGGTCATCAAGAAGGCATTTACATTCCTGTTAAAATAAGTGCACTCAGAGGTGCCAACAGAAAATTATGCATAAGGATATAGTTTATGTACACAGGTTGCAATCTAATAAAAAACCAGTCACTTCATGTTCCTAGGTCTGTGAATATTTATCATCATAAGCAAGTAGCAGAGAGAGGCTGGGCTGAGGAAATAAGGGATAGTAGAGGAAATCATTGTAACCAATAGAAGACAAACCTCCTTAGTGAAAACGGGTTCTTGCAAAATCCCAGGTAAAAGCTTCTGACAGTTTCCTTTGTATCTCTAAGTGTTCCTGAACTAAACCAGTCCCATAAATTAAGGTGCCTAAGAACAATATGTAACAGAACAGACGTTCTGCCAGCTCCTCACTGGTACCCGGTAAGGATCCCATCATTTTGGATAAAAGCAGCTGGGGGAGATAATTGTGTGGCTAAGAGAGCATCAGCAGGTTGCAAGAAATCATTAGTCACCTCTGCAATACACCTGGTAAATTATCAATACATTTAAACAGAGCTGTTCCTCTCAGTACTGCAGTGTAGGATACAGACAGCTTCAAGGCTCTGAACATAATCAGCAGACGTGTGTCAGCAATTAGGAAGCAAGCTGTTTTCTAGTACGAAATCAAGGCAGAAGAGCTGCAATTGTGGCTGGAAGTAGGCTGTGCTTCCATGATTTTACCAGGCACCTGCAGCCTGACACACCAAGTTGATCTGACGTGCAGCACAAGGATCCAGTTCTTTCCAGTCACCCACCATGTGCTATAGGAAGTCTGAATGGGTTTCAAGTTTTCAAGTCAACTGTAGAACAGCAAATGACGCCAGGTCAAGCATAATGATACAATGGCAAGGTTGGATGAGGCACTGGGAGAAACTCTGTGGTACAAAGCTAACTCTTCAGGGAAAAAAAAAAAAAGACTGGCAGGTTACCACATTTGAACCACAGTGTGAATTTATATTGAATCAGTATTTTGACTTATGCAGTGCCTACCATGTTTTTCACCTGATGTAAGAGCTCTAAACGTAGTTCATTTATAGTTTTCAGGCATTGCTTTGGTAGATTGAAAAAGTGCTGTTATGTAAAGTGGAAAGTCTTCTGAATTAGTCTTGACTATTGTGAACTAGATAAACCTTTATCATCACTCTTTTCAGCTCCTCTGTGAGATGAGTCCCCACAGAGACAGAGGCAACACTTTGGTCACCTTTGATCACACTGAGCAGCGCTTGACCCTTCATGGATTTACCTGGAAATTGGAATCTACCCAACAGGGTAAGGCAGTGATTTCTAGTTGACTTGATTCAGAGTGAACAAATCTGCTGATTAGCTTCAGTCAGGCAGGTAATGGGATATCTTCACTGTTCTGCTGTTGTTCAGGCTGTGTCTCTGTGCTGGTTTTGACTGGTGTAGAGTTAATTTTCTTCAGTGGCCAGTATGGCCCATGTTTTGGATATGTGCTGAACACAGCTGATAATTCAGGGATGTTTTCCTTGTTGCTGAGCAGAGCCCACACAGAGCCAAGGCTTTTCTGCCCCTTACTCGACCCCACCAGCGAGGAGGCTGGGGTGGCACAAGGAGCTGGGAGGGGACAGAGCCAGGGCAGCTGACCCCAAGTGACCCAAAAGGGGTATCCCAGACCATACTGGGTCATGCATAGCACACAAAGCTGGGGGAAAAAGGAAGAGGGGAACATTCACAAGGCTGGTGTTTGTCTTCCCAAGTCACCCTTCTGTGTGATGGAGCCCTGCTGTCCTGGGGATGGCTGGGCACCTGCCTGCACATGGGAAGTAAGGAATGAATTCCTTGTTTTACTTTCCTTGCACTGCTTTTGCTTTACCTACCAAACTGTCTTTATCTCAACCAGTGAGTTTTCTCACTGTTACTCTTCTGATTCTCTTCCCCCATCCCACCAGGGGGAAATGAGTGAGTGGCTGTGTTGGGCTAAGCTGCTGGCTGGGGTGAAACCAGGACAGTCTCTGAAGGGCAGCCTCAGTGTATCTCACTGGTGTGTTTCATGCTGGGGAAAAAATAAAAATTAAAAAAAAAAAAAAAAAAGAAGAAAAAAAAGAGATGGTTTTGCATCTGCAAAAAATACTTTTTTCTTAGTTGAGAATTACCAAGACCTGACTGAAGCTCCACATCAGAGTTTTGATCTTGTACTGCAATCGCTTAAAGAAGGAGAAGGGGATATGAAACGAGAAATGAGAAGGAACCAGTGTGGATGATGGTAGCTGTGTTCTCCTCCTCATGCCCTGCACATTGTGTGGTAGGAAAGGAGAATTCACCAAGAGGACACACTGAGTGCAGCAGCACTCACCAACAGTCAGGGAAAGTTTGTTGCTGTTTTCATAGATTCATGCTCTCATACACTTGGATAGTCAGTAATGTGTCATCCTAGGTACGTGTTTATGTTGTCAGACAAGGAATATCCAGGGATAGCTGTCCATTTTCAGAGCAATTTTCAAGGCTTGATACATCATGTGGAATCTGTCTGGCCCATCACTCAGACTGTGGACAAGGAAGTGGTGTTGCAGAAGACAAGTATATCAGTTCAGTTCTTGTCTGTCTCAGTCCATCTGGTGAAGCATCAAGTGTGTGGGAGCACTCGGTCCAGGTAGAGTTTGAGGGACATGGGAAAATGTACTGCAGAAAGTTAGAAAATCTGGGTATTGTGTGCTCTGTTCATTTGATTGACTGATGAAAACAAATTTTTACCAGTGCACAGATCCTATTTCGTGAGACCTCTTCCTGTTTTCCCTGCTGGGTGGTCTAACTTCCAGAGTACCTGTGGCAGCCACTGCTTGTCACAGCTCAGTGACAGCTCTCAGTAACTCCAGCAGCTGGTAGTGCTCTCTAGAAATCCAGGGTCATTTTTACTGCTTTAGAGCACTTTTGCCAAAGCCAGTAAGTACCAGCTCAAACACACCTTGAAACTTGGTGGGGGCAGGAATTGGGATTTCAAAACTAAGAGGTTCCCTCAGTACTGAGATGTTTTCTATGTAGGGGTGGTCTGCTTCTTTCTTATTAAATACAAATACTAGGAATGTAGTATTCAAGTAATACATTTTTTTTGACTGCTTTAATGAGCATGTTATCAGCATTTCTACTTTATTGTATATAGCAGAACGGAAATATTGGCAGTAACTGTGCACTTACCACTTGGAATGCAAGTATGACATGAAAGAGGTTTTAAATATTAAATATTTTCTTGTAGAATTTGTAGAAATTGACCTTAGTTATTGGAATAATGGTCTAAACATTCAACTTTCACTCTAATTATCCAGTCTTTCCTCTGCTCTCGTGCAGCTATGGTGTCACAACCAAAAAAATAATTTAATGAAATTAAGTGTGTGTTGAAATATATATACACACACATACACTTCAGGTTGGCAAATGAAAATAAAAAGACAGTGTAAAAAGCACTTCAACAAATATGATTTAATGTTCAATTTAGCAATTAAGTGTATGTTGGATATGCTGCCACAGTAAATACTGGTCAATTTTAGTTCCTCAGTCCTGTGGTCTCTTAGGCCAAAGTTGGCACCCCGTGTGTTTGTGTCCGTGCTGTGGGTTCTAACCTGGTGTAGTGCCTGCTGCTGGGAATGCAGCAGCTGGGGCAGGGAGGTGGTTCTTGGATGACACCAGATTTTCTCTCAGCTCTATGACGGAGTTACGTGGCAGTACTCAAGGCACAGGTTGGCTGTCGATGGTGGTGTCACGCTGTGGGGAATTGCTTTTGGGGGGCAGTCAGCTGCTGGAGAGCTCAGGGCTGAACCTTTCCTGCAACACACCTTTATCGTGTGTTATAAAGGAACTTGCACATTTATTTTTACTTTATTAGCCTTGTATTACCCAGAGGGGCCTACAAGATTTTTTTGCAAGGACATGTAGTGATAGGGCAAGGGGTAATGAATTTAAACCAATAGAGGGCAGGTTTAGATTAGATATTAGGAATAAATTCTTCCCTGTGAGGGTGGTGAGGCCATGGTACAGGTTGCCCGGAGAAGCTGTGGATCCCTGGAAGTTTTCAGGGCCAGGCTGGATAGGGCTTGGAGGAACCTGGGATAGTGGAAGGTGTCCCTGCCCATGGCAGAGGGTTGGAACTGGATGGTCTTTAAGGTCCCTTCCAACTCAAACCATTCTAGGATTCTGTGATTTTGGGACCTTCAGTAAAAATAACTTGCCCAGTTTTCCTGAAATACCCTGCTCTGTGTAGCCTGCACGGCTCTGAAACAGCCATCTGGTTTCTTTTGCTGCCTCTGCTGCTACATCCTGAGTACAACAGCAATTTGCAGTTACTCTCTTTTTCCCTTCTCCCATGTCCTTCACCTCGAAAGCACAGGCCCTCGCTACAGTAGCATCCATGTGGGTCTCCAGGATGGAAAAACTGAGTTAACATTTTTTTTTCCTTTACAGAGCAAGGAGGTTCTTTACAGAAGAATCAGCCTGATGAGCACTGGTTTTCATGCGCGTGCTTGTTTGCATGGTAGGAAGGCTTTTTCTGTGAATGGGAGGAATGTTTAGCATCTGATTTTCTGAACTGAAAAGATTTCCTGTCTGTATAATTAGCCTTATTTATGCAATTAGAGCTTATCCACTACTTGCTTGGTTTGTTTTTTTTTTAGTTTACTTTCCTCTATGTAGAATATTCATCAGACAGCTCATGTTGAGAAGTCAACAAGATTGTTGTCGTTGTTCTGGTTTTTGTGTCTCTACAAGGAATGCGATTGTCACTGAAGCAATGAATTGTTGAATACAATCTAAACACCACTTAATGTCAGCTTTTTTTTCCCTGAGTGACATGATGATGAATTCCGGAGGAAAAAAGTACCTTAGAGAAATTTCATCAAATAAATTATCTAGTTGTGCCTAGAAATTCCATAATGACCTCAAGACTTAGGAGCTGCCAAATATACTGCTTAGAACTAGCCACTCTTGAGATATTAAAATAATATACAATGAACACTGCAAAATCTGCTTACTCTAGAACTTGATGTATCTCTTTAAACCTAATTCATTGTGTGCAAATGACATTTGCTTTTATAATAGAAGCATGTATTCATGCTCTACATTGTTCTTGTCTGTCTCTCTAGCACACTAGGGACTGTGGTGCATCCTGTATGTCTTAGAACTTAATCATTCAGTTACTCAGTAAAAATAAAATGGTGTGAACATGCTCATGAGTGAGAGCAATCAAACTCAGTCACAGAAAAAGACAGTCCAAACTTGAATGTCATCCAGATAATTTACCAGGCTCAGAATACAAAACATTTAACGAGGAACTGTCATGTTTATAGAAATTTTAAGGATTGTATAGATTATATTAGAATAGCGATGGAATTATAATTGATAGAAATAGCAGAGTTAGGGTAATTTCTTCTAAATCCATAAGCAATCCAGTCAAACAGAAATATTCACAAGGTAGGCACAGTGGAATTTGTTAAGCTGGTGGTTGTGCTGCTTTCTTCTCTCAGAGAAACCAGCTCTGCAAGGTTTCACCCTGTGCTGGCCTTTGTCCCTTGTAGTGCTTTGTTATACACCCTACAAGACCTACTTTGGAGAAGACTGAACAATTTTGGGGAAAGCAGGCAGACTGAAAAGGTTGCTGAAAGCCCAGTGCAGCAATGTGGTGTCTGCATGTCTGATTCTCTGCTGTTCTGCACATGGACATGTGCTCATTTGCCAAACGGGACCTGCCAGGGCAGCAGAGGGGAACGCTTCATCTCCCTGCTAGCAGGAAATGGCACATTCCTTTCAAGTTTCAAGCTGCATCCTGACTCTTTGCTCAGACAGGCTGTGTATTCAAAGGGTTTTAGGAGGCTGAATTCAGTGTAGTTGATTCCATAAACAAATCACTTCTCTGTTCCTCCTCTCTGTAAAATGGAAATTACAGAGGAGTGTTAAGAGCTTGGGGTGAAAAAGCTCTGCTCAGTGATGTTATTTGTGATGTGGTAACACATCAGGGAAGGCAGGATTAATGGTCAGGTAATTCAAAGACTGGCAGGATGTTCCTGAGAGTGATAGAAGTAGTTCAGACACCATGACTAAAAATCAACCATTGATACAGCTGTTATTGCTGTTGCTACAGAATGCATAAATTGTATTCCTTCTGTCTTGTAGTTTGATTTGCATAGCTATAAACTCCCTCCCTTAATCTTCAAATAAAGCACACCTACTTCGTATATATGCTCCTCTTTTTGCCTGAGGCAATGTAAGAGTTGATCCATTAATATCATGGCTTGTTTTCTACTTAAGTGGATATTGCACTACCATCCATTACCAGCTTTTAAACACCTCTAGGTTTGGGTTTTCCACTATTTTTGTAGCCTCATGTGACAAAAAGTATTTCTTTATATTCAATGTTTTCATTTGGAAAAACCCAGGTGGTAATGTTATCCCAGTTGTCATTATTTTTTGCTAATTCTTTAGAGAAATTCTTCAGCTTTGGTAAATTCATCCAGTAGAATATGGATGGCAACAGAGAAATATTTGACAAAAATTCTGGTATTTCAGGGAGTTTCATAAAAACTGTCAGAACTTTCATTAACTCATAACTCCCTCTGGATTGTGTCTCTATCTCTTTTAGGGCCCCTGAGATCAGCCTTTTTATTTCACTAGGCTGAAACTTTTACAACAGACAGTTCCCAAATGGCATATCCAGCTGCAGCCGTGTATTTTTCTTTGTTAATGCCAGTAGTGTTAACAGCATTGGATTGAATTAAGCTTTACTAAGGCTGTAGCAGTTAGGATCTTCAAATGCTTTTCTCTAGGGCACTTCTTCCTCATAAGAGAATAATTTGAAAAATTAAAAAAAAAAAAAAAAGCCTAATGCTGAAGAACTCACAGGAAAGGCTTCATTGCTGTCACTGAATGAATCATCCACATCAGGTTTTTTTCTCCAAACTCTTTGAAAGCAAGAGTGCCTTGAACAGGTGCTCCAGGTTTGGAGAAACTCAAGAAAGGGATTTCAAGCCCTACATTCAGAGCTCAGATTCAAGTGACATTATGAATAGCTTAAATTAATTACCCTGTCCAGTGAGACTGAATTGTCATATAAAATATTCTAAATCAAACAAAACAGTATTTCAGTAAGAAGCCATTGTCTTTACCACTCTGTCACTCTTGCAAGGTGTGAGTGGTGCTGTGGAGAGTGTATTGCAAGACTTTTTCCCCACGATAAGGCAGCCTTGGAAGGGATTACAGCAGCCAGGCTCCTGAACAGCCAACATGCAACTAGAAATGTGTTATTTCAGGTACCTGGTACAAGAATATATTGAGGAAAATGTATTGGGAGGTTCCGTAGTTTCGTCCTCTTGGATAACTTACCATCAGTGTAAGTTGAGTTGCATGTGAATTAAACCTCTGTCCAGCTGCAATTTGTGCAGACTTTTACCACAGCTCCTGTGTGTGGCACACCCCCAGCAGCCTCAGGGCTGCAATCAGATCCCCCTCTGTTTCCGGTTCCAGCTGCTGCAGTCAGTCAAATAGGTGAAATCCTAGTAGGACCTTTCCTTTGTCTCCTTTCCGGGGTGGCATGTGCTCTCTTTACACTTTTTTGTTACTTTTAGCCAAAACTGGATAATTTTTTTTTCCTTCCTGGCAGTTGTGCCCTGAAGTGCTTCCTCTTCCTTCCACCCGTGGAAAATTGCCGTGGTTGTTACACGTTGTCATGGTTTGAAACACCCAAAAATCCAATTTCCTAGTCCAAGCCTCCCTCCCACAACTCACCCCAGGGTGAGGGGTTTTCCAGACACAACACAAAACTCAATATGGGGGAAAGGGTATTATATCACAATTATTACACAAATAAATATTATAATACATTATATACATAATCCTAACTATCTCTCCTAAGCAATATTTACATTGGATCAAATCTCTTTTCCCTCCAATAAAAGTCCAGAAGGGAAGAAGGAAAGATCCTTTCCACTTTCAGGGCAGCAGTGTCTCTCTCTTCAATGCAGCAGTCGTAGTTGGAGTTGTTGTAGTTGGATCTCTTTCCATTACACACAAGGGGGTCTCCTCTCACCACTCTCGGCCCTTCGACTCCAAGTGAAGGTCTCTCTCTCCCGTGGACTGCGAAGCGGGGACAAAAGCTCACCTCACCACGTCATATCATGAAGTGCAGGGGTCTTCCTGACAGTCTCTTCCTCAGGGGATTTACCCCCCGAATCAGAATGTTTAGGGCAGCTTTCAGCTCAGTCCTTCCCCTAAGCATTCTATCAGACCTCCTCTGCTCTGTCTCAGCTGCCAGCTTGGCAGCAGCAGCAGGGGAGGAACAAGGTCACCTCCTCTGCATTTCGTCCGGCTGTCCGGTCCAGCTTCCAGGACGTCTACGAGCTTCTCAGCTCCTCTCTGCAGTGTATGCTGCATTTTAGGACTTCCACCAAGTAGGAGTCCACCCCCTCCTCCTAGGAGGGGTCTCAAAGGGGTTTTGGGGAGAGTTGATTCAGTTCTTACCCCAAAACTGTCTCTGTTGAGCTTTTTCTCTCTCTCTCTCTCTCTCTCTCTCTCTTTCTCTCCATCAGACATCTCTGTGTCTCTCTGCTTAGCTGCATGCTGACTTTGCTGCTTGTTTCTTATCTTCTTGGCCCTCTGCCACAGTTCTCCATTCACTGCTGCTCCACTGCCGCTTTCAGTATCTCTGGCTGTCCACTCACAGCAAGGAAACTTCCCCCAGCTCTTAGCTACAGATACTTGGCCCAGTCTAACACTGTTTCAAGTTCCTGCAGCCCCCCAGCCGGGAGCTGGGGGGGGCCCAGCTCCCAGCAGGGCTCCTGGCTTTTCTCCCCTCTTGACCTAAAACATGGCCACTTCTTCCTTAACTGGATCATCATCCTTCTTTTCCAGTCTGGTGTGATATGTTTAAATTTTGCAAGGGCGCTGATTGGGTAACCCCCTCAGGGGTTGCCATTTTTTTAACTCCAGGGGGAAAACCACTTGTTTTCCCCACCACACACATGCACTGCTTGGAGTGCTCCTATAGCCCGCAGGAACTCCCTCTTCCCAGCGCCATGTTCAGGATGCCTGGAATCTGCTGGTTTATGACCAGTAGATTTCTGGCTTCCTGGGAGGGAAGAGTATTGATTTACATACCCGGTAAATATCTTGTAGGCAATTTTCCTTTCTAATCATTGTTCAATAAGCACAGCTGGACGCAAATAAATTGACATTATAGTTAAGGCCTCCTAACAGCTCCACTCACATCTCCTGGGGCCTTTCTGTAGCCTCTAGGATTTTTATAAAGATTTATTTCCCCTAAATATAATTACATTATAATCTAATTACTTTCTTACACTTCTTCTCATAATTAACTTTCCTATGTTTAAAACTTGAAGAAAGAAATGAGATAGAACACACTGCTTTATTAATCTGAGGAGTGTATCTTATATTTCTTAAAATAACTTCTGATTTTTGTTTTATTTCATTGGTCTGGTTGATATGATCTGTAAACATCTTCTCAGCCAGTGCCAAATTAAAATAATACGTACTTGATTTTTATGGTACATCAATAAAAACATAGGTGGTATGAATAGCAAGAAGGAACAGATACATGGTTTCGTTCTATTTTAAATGGTAATGTGTTATATCTAATCTGCTAACGTGAAACAAATATTGATAGGTCTGAACTGGACAAAATGCACACAGTAAATTCAGTTTCTAGTGTTAGTTTGTAGACCAAGTACTTACTTATCAATTTCCTTTATACTAATACAGAAGTTCTTGGTTTCTACTTTTCTTTTTTTCTTTTTTTAATTCTGTTGTCATTTCATACAGAGATAGAACAGTTTTGCACTGGGAGAACTACATGAAAATCTCTTTGGAATGGATATATTTTTATTTATTGTTCATCAGTATCTTCTGAATAGTCTTAAAAGCAAATTCCATGATAACAGTCCATGAGCTCTTCCGTTTGTCTTTCTACAGCTTTGTGTTTTTCCACTGGACCAACCAATGGACTTGCATGACTAGAAATTCAAACAAGCAAATTCCATAAGGTATGTGAAATGTTGACTGACACACATCTGCTTTTCATTCTCAGAAAGAGTATTTTCTTAAAATTTGATATCATTTTTAGGGTCAAAGAACATGATAAAAATAAATTATCTGAATACCTAGGATAATTCTACTAATAGCAGTAGAGAGATCCCACTGTACTGGTTCCCACAATGTATGAAAATATTTTTTTAAATTTTGTTCTCACATATAGAGAGTGTTTCAAGGAAAAGTCAGAGGGGAATATATATCTTTTTTTTATGCAGGTTGAACTTTCTTTTTAAAACAGAACTGAACTCAGTTTCAATGTTCTGTATTCCGTATTGAAATTCTTCTAACGTTTTTATATAAAATAGGGATTTGGGGGTTTATCTCCTGTTATTTTCATAATAGAAAACCTGTCACTTTATATGAGGAACCCACCCTATTGTTTCAGATAAATTCTCATGCCATTCAATGGAAAATAACAGTCCTCTGCTGCAATTCTTCATGTTTTCCCTCAGTGTGGCAACTGTGGAGAGCAGGAGCAGTTAAATAGCTGCTTGAGTTTGGATCATACTGCTCTGTAGGAGTAATTGGAAGCAGTTCCTGTTTTTACAGCAGTGGCACTAGGAAGCACCATTCTCCTTTCAGCCTCCCTCCCCCCCATATTTGACCTGATATCAACATGAACATTTTTCAGAAGAGGCAGCTTGAGACTTTTCAGCAAAAAGTGCTAGAATTAATTTTGCCAGTTTGGCAAGGGTGTTGGGAGAACATAACCTTTTGTATCCCCAGTGCTGTAGCTACGAAGCTGAGTTTTATAGCAGAGGAGATCCCAAGGAACGACATCGACTGTCTCTCTGCCATCTGGCCCAGCCTGGTTGCAGCACATGGCCAAAAAAGGCATCAGGAGGGGGCAAGGTCGCTGTGCTCTGCCCTCCCCTGCACTGACTCAGCTGCTGCTCAGTGCTCTGAGTACTGCCAGGGCACAGAGGAAATGAAAGTGTGGTCCAGCAGTTCCCAGGGCAGCTCACATCTGGAGATATGCAGAGGTCAATAAAGCTCCCCAGGGAGGCAAGAAACTGGAATGCTTTATTGGATTTACAAGTTCATATTTAAAGGGTTTGTAACAATTTGTTACAAACAGGGGGTTTCAGGGGATGACATAACCGAAAAACCTGACTTACACAATTCAGGGGTTTCACAGAGATGACATCAGGGGAAAATCCATGTTACACTTCTTGGGCTTTTAGGAATTACCTCATGGGGAAAACCCCATCTTATCTTAGGGGTATTACATGGGGGGAACAGGTAAGGAAGAGATAAAAAGGGAGAGATAAAACACAAAAGGTCTTCTGCACAGGTTTGATGAGATCAGGGCAGGGTTTCTCCGGGCTCGGGCAGGACATTCCAAACCCATGACATCAATGGATCCTTGTCTGGACTCTAGATGGAGGCTTTTTCTTAGTCTCTGTCAGCCCAAGGCTTTTGTTTAAACCTAGTAGTTTTCTTTTTCTCATATCCAAATTTTGAAATCCAACAGAGATACACAAGGCACAGTTTCAATAATGAAAGAAAGGCTGACTGGGGTGGAAAGGGAGTTGCAGAGTCAATAAGAAGAGTCAAAAAGGGATAGTTTTCCCCACTTTAATCTCCCTGGTATGAATATTAGCTGTGGAAAAACTGAAAGGTCATTTAGGCCTAAGTCTAGAGCATCTCTTTTTGGATGGAGTGCCTTTCTTCTTTACTTTAGTAGAAGTGCATAGGACAAAACTGAGATCACATTTGAACTGGAATATAAACCCACTTTTCCTTTAGTATTTCAGACTCCTCAGCCCAAATCTTTAAAATGGAAAATACCTAAAAAGTCATTGTGGCGAAAAAAGTCAATTTCCAAAGTTTGTTTTTCCACTAGTCATCAGGTATTTAAATCTTTGCCTTTTGTCAGAAAAACACCTTTGATAAAGGCCACCTTCCATGTATATAGATTTCACCTTTGGAGATGAAAGGGAACCATCTGTGAGATGTCTCTAGTTCCTGCTGGGAGCATGCCCTGTGCACTGGGCACTGGACTGGTGAGGACAGAGGTCACTGGGACCCTGAGGGTGGCAAGAACAAACCATGCCACCTCTCTGTCTCTGTTTCCCTGCTTGTGTATTTTGCCTATTAAATCACATCTGTCACCTTTATCACCTCCTTGTTCTTTACAGATGTACTTCTCTTTGCTGCTTTTTAAACATATCCTTTTGAAAACTTTCTTGCTCTATACCAGCTGTTTCCATAAGATCTTTTGGCTTAGGATTTTGCCTTTGAGTCTCTATATATATAACCTGGATTTTTGTTGTTAGTATACCTACTGCTGCCTCTAGAAAATATTTTGATATGTAATGAGGCAAGACTTCCTTCACAAAATCTGTTTCTCTCTTTGCCAATAAGTATATTTGTCTATGAAGGCACTCATTCTATTCTTTGAAACAGTTTCCACCAGTTTACTTGGCTTTCTGCTCCATGTTTGCCCAGAACACTTTGGTAACAGAGCAAATTTAAGTCAGAAGTTAAATAGCACCGTTGGTAGTTAAATCTTGAGTTTCTTTATGTTATAGGCAGTTCTCATGTGGTTCTGGTGGTTTGTTACGGTTCATTTGGTCATTAGAAAACCTTTTTGGGTGTCTCTGTCATTAATTTTTATTTGAGATATTTTTATTTATTTTGTTTGAGATATTTGGGGCTCTCTTGTAGAGAGAGATTCCAGAATAGGACTCTTTCCAGTCTCCTCCCCCCCCTCAAAATATGTGCAAGAAAAAAATAGAAACAAAACCATAAAAACAAAAAAAATGAAATCTGATCCAGTGTAGGGCTTCCAACAAAGCCAAGAGTTGCTTCCTCCTCTCTGAGTTTCCTGGCTGCCCATGAAATACTGATTCCTGCTAACGTATCCCAGTATGTTTATACTTTCCACTGAGCATAAGTGAAGTTTTCCCATCACCACGTTGTTCCACTATTGAAATATAATAGTGATAGTATTTCATTTCAATGCTTCATTTCATCGCCCAGGATATCAGTTCCATGGGATCACATCTGAGTAAACTGTCCAGAGGGCTTGGCCCATTAGTTTTAAACTACTCTTTAACATATGATTCTATTTACTGTTTGGTACAGCTTACTCTATCTTTTATACATGCTTTGATTTTCTGGTTCCAGGGTCTCTGATTGTTTTCTTTCCACTAGGATGCCTAGTGCTTATTATGCCCACATTTGATATTCTCAGTTAAAAGTGTGCAGGGCAACAAGTCAGGCAGGCAATCAGGTTCCCTATCTAATTGCTTAGATGGCTGCAGGAAAACATGGATAAGTTGCTTTTATTTTTTTTTTTCTCTATACAACTGTATCTTTTATGTTTCCTATTTGATTATCTCAAGCTTCCATCCTATCCTTTATATAAATTCTTTTAACTTCCCCAGTGAGCTTTTCTGCACCCATCAGCATTCTTCCACTTTCCCGTTTCAGCAACTTTACACAAACCTTGGCTGTGTTCCTGGGAGGTGAATTACCCATCACTGGAGCCTGCAACTTGTAACTGAGGTTCATGACCCAAGAGTGTATTTACCTCTTGTGAGGATGATTTCTTATGGACCTCATTTCCAGCTGGGGTTCAGGACCCTTGTAGCCAACAGAGGCTGTTGGCCTTTAAGTGTTGACTGCTGGGAAGGGTCTGTATTGTGCTGACATGCACATAAGCCCCCCCCAGGGAGCAGCTGTTTGATCCCTCTGTTGAGCAGTGCAGCATATTCTTCACCTCGTTGGATTTTTTAACTTCCTGCTTGGGTGGGCTGCCTTTCTCAATCCATCCTGTCAGTGGTTGCTAATGGGCTGCCCCTTATTTCCTTGTTGGAGCTCAGATTGACCACAACAGCAAGCTTTTTTCCCACTATTTCTAGCAGTAGTTTTACGGGCTAAAAACATGTATCTGCTAAATTCAGTTTCCAGGAAGCATTGCTAATTCTTATGGCAGAATAGGGACTGAAGGATCCCAGGCAGATCTCTCCACAAACACTGATGTGTTAATATATTCTTGATATTCATTGCGTCTCCAGTAATTTGCCTTTTACCTAGAAGGGCACATCAGCAAGTGGCTCTCCTGTGTTTACTCTTAAGTAAATTGTGGTGTTAAACAGCTTCTTTCTGAAACCCTCCTGGTTGCATAAGCCATGTGATTCTGGATACAACAATCTGATGAGGCAGAACAGTACTAGGGTGTGTTAAGTGGTGGCTATTGCTTGCATTTCAGTATATTTGTATTGAGGATCACTCTCCTGGAAGTAACAAACATGGAAGAGGGATTAATTCGAGAGTCCCAAAGTCATTGTCCAGAACGGGAGGTTTGCAGCTATCAGACAGAAAGCATCAACTTTCTATTTTTGGGATTAGTAACTTTGGTCTTGATGAGCAACGATAAAATCACGCAGAACATAATTCATTAAAATACAGTTCAGTCTGGGATCATTGGTGAGGTTTGCCACCTGTGTGGCCTCATGCTTGCCCAAGTAGATTGTAGGTCATAGAAATATGTCAGGAAACAGTTTACAGGGACACCTATTAGAATACTCAAGGCTGAACATCTGCCTCTCCTAATCTGTCACTGTCTCACTGAAAAAATAATTTCTGACATTCAGTCAACCAAAAATATCACTGGAACAGCCCAGTGGTCGGTTCAGTAGGAGTTTGTGAGTGGAAAGAAACCAGTCTGATTTGCACAAAATACCTTTTGGTGATAAAACCTCACTTTTGTTGCTGGCTGGAACAGGTACGGACCTTCTCATGTTTCTCGCTTTAATTTGGCATTAATGAGTTTTTGCAAACATGGCCTCTGTGTTTATACAGTCATTCTTTGCTTGTTTATACCAGTCTGTCAAAGGCCGCACTGGGGTTTTGTGTTTGCTTTTTTTTTGTATGTGTGTTAAACATTGAGCAGCAAGACAGGGCACATACAGTTGTATAAGTGTTTCTAAAATAATATCTA